AATGTAATAATTGCATATTAGATCGTCTACCCTATAAATTATCAAATTCATAGACTATACTTTTATTCGGGGTTAAAACTACAAATTATTGTAGACTAGTTAATATATACATATATGTTCATAAAGTCGTATATTAACAAATGAATTAATAAACGATTATATCCGAGACGATTCAATTGTCTTATAAAACGTATATAACTATGGTGTAAAATTACCAAGAAAATGTAATAACCTATTTTTTAACCAAATAAAATAATGTAAATACCCATTGCTGTCCAGTATTACATTATTTTATTTACATTATTTTAACCAAATAAAATAAAGTTATTTACATTATTTTACTTTATTTTATTTGGTTAAAATATAGGTTATTATTTTTTAACCTATTTTTTAACCAAATAAAATAATGTTGACTCGATCAATTTACTTTGGTGAGGCTTTTACACTTTTTCTTCTTAATTTCTCGGCACTAGAAAATGCAAAATGCAAATACGTTAATAGCATCGACCAAAAATGTAACTTGGGCAAATGGACGCCTTTTATTTTATTTTACTTTTTTAGCTGTATAACGATATATTGATATATGTAAATCATTACGCCACTCATGCCTCCCACATTCCCATTTGAGAATTGAGGTATATATTATTACCACTAGCGTGGTCCAAAATTCAATAGCTTTTAATCATATCGCTGCATCAATTATTACTGGCAAGCTAAACCTAATTTATCTACTTCACTTATATATTTTGTGAGTTACAGAAAACGAAATGTACGATGAGTCCCATGAAAAAAAAAAATGTTGGCTTATATATCGAGGAAAATAAATAAATACTATTATATATATTTTAAAAAAAAACAGCTTTTTCTTTTTTCTTTTCAAGACTTCTCTTAATTAAATGTCACAACAACATTTCCACTAAAACATCAAAACTGAAAGAAACATAAAGTCCTACATTCGCCTCTACCATTTTGTACTTTGAATTCTACAAAGTATAATAAAATTATAAAGCTGAAAATCGAGAGATATGGCACTGACTCTACATTGGTATAACAGAGACCTGCCCGGTTTACCAAAACCGATGTGGGTAAATCCCTGCCGATGGGACTGGTCTAACTTCCGTAAAGAGGAAGAAAACTCTACGAGGTTTCTATCAAAAGCTAGAGGAAGGTCGAGGCTTACCTTTAATGGAGTTTAAGTGCTGAGTAACGAAAATAACAGCCATTACTACTAAGAGACATCCCACCAACGAACTGAAGAACAGAGCCCCTGGCTGTCTGGTTTGAACGAACCCGTAAATCCCATTTGATGTCATCACAATCACATCCGTAAGTCCATCGTTCGAGAAGTCATCAGTGATCAGTGCATGACTTGGGTGAGACGGTAACTCAATAGAAGCCAATACACTTCCTCCTGGAGATATAATGACTGCCGCTTGATCTCCTCCGGCAAGGATCATAGGCTGGTTATCATGAATCCGCAGAGAGAACGGTTTCAGGGTTGGGACCACCGTCCCTGATTCAGTTAAACCAGATGGAGACGGGAGATTCGACCATGTGGCTTCTGTCTGAAGCTGCCATTGCCAAAGCGGCTCGTGGCCGTGCACATCAGGGGTGTATGATGTCACCTGATACGGAAAGCGATGAGAGCTATTGAACGAAATTCAAAGTTGAAAGAGTTAAAAAACGATTGGATCATCAGAATAAAGAAAGGAACAAAGTACCTCTCCACGATTAGTTAAGAAGATTACATCACCGTGACTTCCTTTTCTGTGTCTATGACCGTCATCTCTGGGGATGAGAATGGGAGTTGCAATCTCCAAAGAAGAGGTGTCTCTCGTCTGAGCAAAGTTTCGTGAAAACTCTCCGTAGTGCAAGAAATTGAAGGGGGCGTGATGGCAGATCGAGACGTTGAAGAGCTGTTCGCGGACTGGAACGCCTGAGGTAGCCACTGCCCAGCAAGGCTTTAACACTTCCATTGATCCGCTCACTACAGTTCTCTCTCCAACATTGCCTCCGACAGCCTAAGGTCCGCACAGAGAATATATGGTCGTGAGAATTGAAGATCCATTGTAAAGCCAATGAAGCGAATGCGGCAGTGGTGTCTAATGTGTACCTGGACATGATCGAGTACACCGTCTCCGTTTATGTCCGCGTGAAGCCCACCTTCAAGCAGATGAAGCTGGAGATAGGAAGAATTTAAGGAAGCTAACATATAAAAAAATGGGTTCGTGATATAGTAAGCTTGTTCATGATCTGGAGGAATAGCTACCTTGCAAAGCGTTCGACCAGTAGGCAAATGAATAGCTTCAATTCCTTCTTTTTGATGAGCCACAACAACATTAGGAACCCACCAAAGCTTAGTGTAATTAGTTATAGTCGGGATGTATTGCATACCCTGCATCAACATGTTGCTTTGCTATCATAAACAAAGAAATATAGGTATTTTTCATGTGGATAATTTACATTTTATAAGAGCTTTACCTTCTTGGGTTTTGCCGAGCCAGCATATCGAGCAGCCTTCCCAATAATTTTCGGAATCTTTCTCGACAAGTCTTTACCAGCGGGTGTGTGTTCCTCAGGTTTGTGAAACGGATAAGTTGTTGACTTACCAGGTTGCTTCTTCAATGTCTTCCTCTTGTGTCGCCTGAAATGCGCAAGCTTCAACAACGTATCTTCACGTCGGTCCTGATACAAAGACAACAACGTACGTTTAAACAGCTTTTAAGCATATTAGACTAAAGAAGCACGTAGAAGGAAGCATAAGACTTACCCAGTAATGGGGCATAACACCAAGAATTGATTCTCTAAATTCCCTGCATTCAAACTTCAGGCCAGCATATCTCAGTTTTTCAAAGCTTTCAAAATATGATAGTGCAATACAAACCACCATAAAAGACAACTAAGAACGGGTAAACTATATTGCTCGCTAGTCACTAATCAATGGAGGACGGGTTAACTTTACCTCTCCTGGGTGACGTCTATTCAGGGCATGCACATCGAGCTTGTAATTGTGTTGGGGAATTAATTGTGATGCATCTGAGGTCTGAGCTTCAGCATCCTAGAAGATTAAAGAAAATATTCTATCAATCTGACATCAAACTTGTTGGAGTTAAGAATTTAGTTAAAACAATGCGTGGAGAAAGAAGTGAGCAGAAAAGGAGAAATAACTGACATCAGTCTTTTTACTCCATCGAAGAACACCAGTCCGGCCAGCGAATGCATAGACAGAAAAGTGACGCAAGTTTATAGCCCCAGAATCTTCAGAGGCCTGAAAGCAAGCTTAAAGTTCAGTACAAACACAGCTCTTATGCACAGTGGGATATGCATGATTGTCTAGTTCTAACTTTATCATTGAGTTCTAGACAATATGTGTAACCAGACAACAGAGGCACACATCTAAATTTATTACCAGAAGTAGTTTAAGGAAATGATAGTGATATAACAACTGCACATCTTTCCTACCTGATTCTCAGTAGCACTCCTTCTGTGTTGTTCAGCATTTTGTTCTGTCATGCCAAGTTCCTCAAATGGGTCCATGTGATTCTAATACACAAAGAATAATCTATTAGTAATGCATGCAAGCTAAAATAGGAAATCAACAGAGGGATTTTTCCTCCTACATACATATGGCTGCATCTCCATCCGTCCACCAACAATAACCAAACCAGTATCACCGTGCTTCAATGTGTAATTGCTTATCGAAATTGCTATCTCTCTATGGTGTGCATTATGTGGAAAATCCTCCTGTCATTCCACCCAACATGGGTAAGTAGAAGGAGACATAATCTATAGAAGTAAGGCAAACTTTTGTATGGAACTTTGGACAAAGTACGAAGAGGACAAAACCTGCAGATTCGTTTCCCACAGCTTTTTCAGGTTGTGATCAAAGCAGAGCACAGACCAACCTGAGGTAACAACGACCAGAACCTGCTTCTGTGGTGTTCCATCTTTATAGTACCTATCGATCACACCTGTGGCCATCGCCACAGCACGTCTCCCTGACGCAACACGGATCTTGTCGGGCAAAAGGGTGATCTCTGCAAGAACACGTGCTTCACTGAAACCTTCATCCACACGCCTGGAATGAGGCTCCAGGACCTAATCCGCCAAACATAAACAGTTGAGCACTTGATCCAACAAGTAATTGCATAGCAATAAAGAGAAATGCATAAGAAAATTCGCCAGCAAGGCTCTATAAATAGGCGAGTAAGATCAAAATCAGAAATGTTTAGCTAACAAAGCAAGACAAGTTCAGAGATTAGAAATCAGAAATATGGTACCTGAATTTTCGCATCATTTGTAGCAACTAGGATCTCCTTCCTGCCATCACCATTAAGATCCGCTACAATAGGTGGTGGTAGACGATCAGCTTCGTATTTGACAGGATACTCATCGTACAAATGAAACCATGCTTCTTTGAACGCAAAATCACCCTCGTGCTGAAAAATCGAGAATCAAACTTCAAGTATCATGTAGAATAAGCTCTACAGAGTAAGAATCAATAACGAACAAATCGAATACATACGAACCAATAGATTCCATCTGAACTCTTTTACAATCTAGCTAACATGCCACCACTCATAGATCGATTTGGCAGTCGAATTCCACCGATAAAGTAAAATTCAAACCTTGCTATAGTAACAGATCGATTAAAGAGTTCTAAGCTGAACACGAGAGAATAAGAAACGATTAATGGGGAAATCACCTGAAGAGTGAAGAAAATCGCAAACCCAGAGAGCATGAGAATAGCCAAATCGCGTTTCCTCATGATGTATCAACAGCAGATTTGTGTCAGACGATATCAGAAGGTAGCAATCTCCCTAGAGCGAGAGAAAGTGAGAAGAGCAATGAAAATAGTCGGAGAAGCAGGCGACCCAGAAGCTCTCGTCCGTACTCGTCAAAACTACGTCGTTTCTTGTAAAGCTGGACGTTTATATCAAAACAGCATGCCGTTTTCATTATATTGAGCCGAACCATATGTCGTATATTTTCATGGGAGGGAGATATTACTTTCCTGGACACGGTGAAGATAATCCTCTCGGAGGATTACTTCAAACCAAAGAGCCAAACATGTTCATTAGCCATCGTTCCTAACTTCGTTAATCGAATCACTGCTCGCCGTTTCTCGCCTCATGTGCAGTTCATGTTAGATCCAAATTGTCATCGTCGTTGCTGCTTAAGTTGGTACGCTTTGATCTAATTTTCAATTAAATAGTTTCATAATCCTGGTTTATAGCTATGAAATGCTTCGATGTTGATTCGTTGATAGTCGTATGTGAATCTATAATGGACCTTCTCGATTACTTCTCTGCCGTTTTTGTTAGAATTAACACTCGCAGTTCATAGAACCACGATAACGTTTGCTTAGCTATTCTCTGTGGTGTTAGGCTTTGGCTTGGTGTTTAGCTAATTTAGTTTTTTTCTTCAGATTTTCAGATTCTTAATTAAGAAATCAATGAACTGGTAGTTTTAATGGATTTTGTACACCATAATGGATTTTTGATTTTATCTATTTCGATCATATGTCAAGATGTTGCATCTATGTTTTGGGTGCTTTTTTTTCTTCAAGTCTTACTTACTCTGGATCACTGGACATGATGTTGTTTAGAGAATTGAGAATCGAATAACAAAACCCACTTGGACTTTTGTAAATGGAAGGAGAGACAACAACAGAATCAGAACATCTGACGATGATGGGCTTTGCAGATCCTATGAAAATTGATCCCAGAAGAGATCGTTTCCCATGCTGCATTGTCTGGACTCCTCTCCCCTTCATTTCATGGCTGATCCCCTTCATTGGCCACGTGGGTATTTGCAGAGAAGACGGTGTCATCCTCGACTTTGCTGGACCTAACTTCGTCTGTGTCGACAACTTTGCATTTGGAGCTGTGTCTCGATACATCCAAATCAACAAGGAAAAGGTAACGTTTGCAAGATGCTAACTTTCATTTGTTTTTTTTTTTGGTTTCTTTCTGCAAAGTTAACAACTTTACTCACATTGGCCTTGGATTATAATCATCAGGAATCATCTCTTTCTCCTCGTATGTTCAATGGTGAGAACAGGTACGAGCAAGAAGACACTCATGAGAAAGAGCCAACATGGGATGATGCGCTTAGAAAAGGCACACAAGAGTACCAACACCACTCGTATAACTTATTCACATGCAACTGTCATTCATTTGTAGCCAACAATCTGAACCGTCTAGCAGTAAGGTCAGGTGGGTGGAACGTGGTGAATCTCGCAGCACTTGTGTTCCTCAAGGGACGTTGGGTGAGCAAAACAGCGATGGTCAAGTCCTTGTTGCCTCCAACCATAGTCTACGCTCTAGGGATACTACTGGGTGGTTGGACTTTCATAGCTTCCTGCTCCATCCTAGCGGTTTTGCTTACCGGTTGGTTCTTCATTGGGACGTATTGTTTCAAGAGATTGATCCAGCTGTAGATTAAGGATCTGGTTATGAGAGAATTATGATGTTGAAGAAATGGGGTTTTTCAATGTGAAGCCTGTGAACTTTTTGTCGGAATGGGACGGACCAAGACTCTTGTAATATATCGATCATCTCGCTTGTTTTTGTCTCTGATTTTTTTTTTATTCTTGTTGTGTGTTTCTGTAAAGTTGGTTTCAAGGACTCGCAAATTGCATCAGAATGATCTGATCTTATTCCATCGGCCTTAATGCCTTATAAAGAAAGTACAATAACTGAAACAACCGTAAAACAAGGACCTGACTCAACTAGTTCAACTAGTTCCATCACTAACAAGAAAATAGCAAACAACAATTGACTTAGTCTAAAACATAAGTCTCTTATTAGAAATGACTCAGCAAACCCTCCCTTGAACTAAACTCGGTTAAGAGTTTCAGTTCATAATACCCATTCCAAATGCTGCTCTGATCCTTTGAAATGATGCCATCTTCAAAGGCTTTGTCATTACATCCGCCAGCTGCTCATCTGTGCTGCAATGAACCAGTTTAACAACACCTTCCTTTGTCAACTCCCTAGAAAATGATATCGAACTCGTATATGTTTTGACTTCCCGTGCAAGACTGCATTTCTGGACAACTTGATAGTGGATGTGTAATCACAGAATAACACCATCTCTCCTTCCTGCTTATGACCGATCTCCTTAAATATTCTTCTCATCCAGATAGCTTGAGACGCGGAAGTAGCAGCTGCTACATATTCTGCTTCGGTGGTCGACAGAGTTACAATCGGCTGCTTTCTTGAAGACCATGCTACAGCTCCTCCACTCATTAAGAAAACATAACCAGAGGTGCTTCGGCTATCATCTACGTCTCCTGCGTAGTCACTGTCGGTGAAACCCATAAGCTTGTTTCCTCCCTCTCGTTTATACCAAATTCCCAGCTCCAACGTTCCCTTCAAGTACCTTAAGACTCTTTTTGCAACAGCAAAATGCATTTCAGTCGGATTTGCCATGAAACGACTAATAAGGCTTACCACAAACATGAGATCTGGACGTGTGGCCGTGAGATACATCAGACTACCCACCATCTGCTTGTATTGAGTTGAATCAACCTTCACTCCAGCTTCATCTCGACCAATTTTCTGTCCAGGAACAATTGGATTGCAGACTGAATTGTAATGCTGCATACTTCTTTTGACAAATGAATATGCCATCCGCCTGTTGCATCACTTCAATGCCCAGAAAATATCTCATCTTGCCCAGATCAGTCATATCAAACTCATTCTTCATGGAACACTTGAACTCATTTAACAACTCTTCATCATCACTGGTGAACAAGAGATCATCGACATAGATACTCACAATTAAGATTTTACCTCCTTTTCGCTTGATGAACAATGTTTGTTCACTTGAGCTGCTCACATATCTTTCTTTGAGAAAATAAGCTTCAATGCGACTGAACCAAGCTCTAGGTGCTTGTTTCAGTCCATACAGGGCCTTATGCAACTTATACACCATATTCTCCTTCCCTGCTACTTCATAACCTTGAGGCTGCTCCACAAATACATCTTCCTTCAGCTCACCATGTAAAAAGGCTGACTTAACATCAAGTTGATAGATCCCCCATCCTTTTTGTGCCGCTACAGCAATGATCATCCTCACTGTGTCCATCCGAGCCACAGGTGCGAATATTTCTGTGTAATCCACTCCATATTCCTGAGCGTACCCCTTCACAACCAGCCTAGCTTTGAACTTGTCCACCTCTCCCAGCTCATTCAGTTTCGTTTTGTAAATCCACTTTACCCCAATCGCTTTAGCCCCAGCTGGAAGCTTAGTCAACGACCATGTGTTGTTCCTTTCAATGGATTGTATCTCTGCATTCATTGCTTGTCTCCATCTCTGGTGTTCATTTGCTTCTCCAAAGCTCGTAGGATCTGAGATGGCCATAAATGCCAGATTTGTGCTGTCGAGACTATCAACCCTGACCATATTTGCTTCTTCCTCCATATCTGACAGCTCCTCTCCTGAGGTAAAGTCGGCAGCCCAGACAGGTGGTCTCCTTGTTCTGCCTGCAGACGTTGATGTGTCTGCAGTTAGATTGTTTGGCACAGGAACATCAGTTCTTTCTTCTGCTTCATCTTCAGCTACCTCTGCTTCTTCTTCTTCTATTTCTTGATTTTCACTGCACTCGTACTGATCATCCCACGCAAGCTCCATGTTTTGTTCACCCGAATAAGCAACATCCCAATTCCAGCCCCTGTCTTCTTGACATAGCACATCTCGGCTAATGTGAACCTTTTTCTCCACTGGATCATACATCTTGTATGCTTTGGATTCGCTGCTGAAGCCTAGCAAGACACACTTTGCGCTTTTATCATCAAGTTTGGTCCTTTTTACATCGGAGATATGAACATACCCGATGCATCCGAAGATTCTGAAGTGCTCGACTGAAGGCTTTCTTCCGCTCCATGCCTCTTCAGGAGTCACATCTTTAACGATCAAGGTGGGAGACCTGTTCAAAACGTGGTTTACCCACTGCACAGCATCCGGCCAGAAAGATTTAGGCACCTCCTTTTCCATCAAGACTGCTCTCACCATATTCATAATGGTTCGGTTTTTGCGCTCTGCAACCCCATTTTGTTGGGGAGTGTAAGCTGTGGTTTGCTGCCTTCTGATCCCATTCTCCTTACAGAATTCTTTGAACTCGCTGGAATTATATTCTACACCTCTGTCTGTCCTTAAACACTTGATAAACAACCCTGTTTGCTTCTCCACGAGTGCTTTGAATATCTTGAACATTTGAAATGCTTCGGACTTCTCTTGCACAATGTATATCCAAGTTTTTCTGGAAAAATCATCAATGAAGCTTATCAGGTACCTCTTATGACTGTTTGATGGAGGGCTGATCGGACCACAGAGGTCTGAGTGGACAAGCTGTAATTTCTCAGTTGCTCTCCACTTGCTTTGCTTAGGAAATGGTACACGATGCTGCTTCCCTTTGACACAGGCTTCACAAATGGTCTTCATCTCTGCAAGTTCAGGTAGACCCACAACCATCTCTTTGCTGTGAAGGGTATGAAGTCCTTTGTGGCTGAGATGCCCATATCGATGGTGCCACAGTTCAGCTTTGTCTGAGATGTTAACTTGCAGGCATCTTTCTTCCTTCATTTTCTCACTTGTTTCTCCCAGCAGAATGAACATCCGATTAGCACTCATGACAGACTCAGCTATCTTTCCCCTTGTTGGATGAAATATGCTGCAGGTTTTGTGTTCTCCTCCATTGAATAGCACATCCAGACCTTTCTCTTGAAGCTGCCCAACACTCAACAGATTATTCTTCACTTCAGGGACATAATACACGTCGTTAACCACATAGCTGATGCCTTTAAGTGTTATCTTCACTACTCCTTTCCCACCAACCATCAGCTTGTGATTGTTGCCCAGCTTGACATTATGCGTAAAATCAGTGTCCAGACTTGAGAACATACCCTTTTCTCCGCACATATGGTTTGAGCATCCAGAGTCAACAAACCAAGCATCTTCTCTTCTTGTGCCTTGAAGTTCAACAAACTCCATCAGTAATACTTCATCTTTTTCTTCAATCTCAGCGTAATTTGCACCATTGTTTGTCTGCGGACATTCATACTGAAAGTGCCCAAGGTTGTGGCACTTGTAACATTCAATCAATGCTTTGTTGAAGGAGCGACCTCTCCCTCTGCCTCGACCCCTGGAGGATCCCCTTCCTCTGCCTTTGACATTGAAAGCTTGATCATCTTCCTCATAGCTGGTCCTTTTGAACTTTTTCTCATGGACTGACAAAGAGCTCTGCAGTTCGTCGATGGTGATGCTGCTTGTGTCTTTGGACTCCTCAATTGACACTACCACGTATGTGAATTTGTCAGTGAGCGTTCGAAGTATCTTCTCCACAATCTTCGAATCTGGCATGTCCTCTCCATTACTTCTCATTTTGTTCGAGACGGACATTACTCTGCCAAAGTAATCGTCCACGCTTTCATCAGCCTTCATTGCAAGAATCTCAAAGTCTCTTCTTAAGGTTTGGAGGAGAGATCTCTTCACTCGTTCATTGCCTCCGAACTTTTTCTTCATTGACTCCCAGATGATCTTGGATGTTCTGCGATCTAAGATCTGTTCAAATACCACCGATCAATGGCTTGAAACAGGTAGTGCTTCACCTGATGGTCTTTCACCTTGAGTTCCTCGATTTGTTTCCGCTGCGCTGCGGTCATCTCGGCTCCCTCCGACGGTTCTGTGAATCCCTCTTCCACCAGATTCCATAATCCTTTGTCACGCAAAAGATTTTCCATCATTTCACTCCAATGATCGTAATGACCATCGAATGAAGAAATTTTGGTAAGAGTTTTATCGTCGCTCATCTTCTCTCTCTCTTTTTTTTTGCTCTCTCTTTGATCACTCTTTTGTGTTTTTGCTCTGATACCAATGGTAAAGTTGGTTTCAAGGACTCGCAAATTGCATTAGAATGATCTGATCTTATTCCATCGGCCTTAATGCCTTATAAAGAAAGTACAATAACTGAAACAACCGTAAAACAAAGATATGACTCAACTAGTTCAACTAGTTCCACCACTAACGAGAAAATAGCAAACAACAATTGACTTAGTCTAAAACATAAGTCTCTTATTAGAAATGGCTCAACAGTTTCAAACTTAAAGAGGTGTAAATTGACAGAAACTAAAAGTTGTAGGAGTAAAGTGAGAATATATATGATTTGGGTGAGGAAGGAAAGTAGCGTATTTTGGTGGGGTTAATTATGGCAAATAAAATCACGCGCCGAATAAAGGAGAACTCAAAAGAATATTGATGGCAAAATTGTGATTTGTAAGTGAGTCCAGGGGCTATATTTGAAAAGGAGGATTGAGCATGTATAAGTAAAATCGCAAGAGGAATAAGAGAAACAGAACAAATCAACACACAGAGAAGGCGAAAAAGAGAAAAGAGGAGAAGATCTGTAGAAAGAGATCGAAGATGGCTGCGGAAGAAGGAAACGTGATCGCTTGTCACACCGTCGAGTCATGGAACGAGCAACTCCAGAAGGGCAATGACTCCAAAACTCTTGTAATCTCCTTCTTTCACTGATTTTGATTTTGTTTTGTACAGATATATATATATATATATATATATATATATTGGGTTTGTCTCTATCATATTTAATTTGTTTAGATTGCTTGCTTGCTTCATAGTCTCGATCTATCACATCATCATGATTGCAATGTATGCAATGCGTTGAATTGTTTCGATTTGGATTCATGCTTGAACACACCATATACCATATATATGAATTAACATACGACATATATGCGTACATATACAATTGAAATCCTTTTTCTTTCTTGAATATGAATTACCACCATATATTATACTATTCTAGGGTTAGTATAGATCATATTGACTAGATTGCGAGTCATACGTTTTTGATGTTTCTATGAAATTAAATTTAAAGGGAACACTAGAGAAATTGATTACCTTGCACAATGGATTTAATTTCTAATTTATTTTCCTCTAACAAACTTCACCACTTTATTCCTATGATATGAATGATTGGCCTCTTATGATTTAAGATCTCATTCATCATTGTAATGGTTAATTTGTTTCACTGAAATTGATTCAAATGATTGGGTTAATTGTTGAAGGTGGTGGTTGATTTCACGGCTTCTTGGTGTGGACCATGTCGTTTCATAGCTCCATTCTTTGCTGATCTAGCTAAGAAACTCCCCAATGTGATTTTTCTCAAGGTTGATATTGACGAATTGAAGGTAAATCAACAACAAAAAAAATTAAATCTTTTCTCTCTTCCTTTTGCTTCATGATAGAGCTTTGTGTTCTTCTATGATCGATATTTTTGTTTTGATGGAACAGTCAGTCGCAAGTGATTGGGCGATTGAAGCGATGCCAACATTCATGTTCATGAAGGAAGGGAAGATTGTGGACAAAGTTGTTGGGGCCAAGAAAGATGAGCTTCAGTCTACCATTACCAAACACTTGGCTTAATTAAAGCTTTCTTTTGCTTTTTTTACAAGTCCTTTATGTCTTAAGATGTTGGATTAATTAATTGTTTCACTAGTATTAAGAGATGTTAGAACTTCAATCCCCTTTTATTATGATTCCGGTCTCATCTCATCTTATAAGATATATTGTGACAACTAGTGAATTTGAAATTTCATTTTGCAGGAAATCTACTGCTTTTACTTCTTTCTACTTCAACTTGTACTTGTTCCTCGCAATGGACCTAAAAGAAAAGAGAGTTTGATTTGTTCCATATGCCCAAAAGTATATTTCTTTGTGGTTATGATGAGGCCATAGAAAGTAACACTTGATGTTAAGTTTTCGAAGTGTGAGAAGATAGCTCTGGGAGATGAAGATGGGAAAAGATCATCAGTCGTGTTTGGATGCAAACATGTTCAGAGAGAGAACAATTATATCTTCTGTTGAAATCAAGAGTTAAAAATCCATTGAAGCTTTCCCATGAAGATAGATCATTTTAAAAGATACTTGGCGAAGCAATAAGATGAGTCCATAATGCAAGTTAGCAGAAAGAAAAATACAAACTTGAAAGTTGAAACATCCCATTCTAAGTTTATAACTTTATATGAACCCTAGCATCAATGAATAATCATCGGATCCATTCAAAAATAAAAATAAATGAATATACCAAAAAAAAGACAGAGTAATTTTCCTCGATTCTCTTCTGCTAATACTAATCAACCGCAGAGAGAATATTCATCCGCTAGAGCAAAATAAAATTGTCAGTTCTTTCGGATACAAGCAAAAAACCCTAATTTATATAATAAAAAAAGGGTTTTGCTCGATCTCTGCGTAGTGTTAAGTTGATAACCCTCTTATGCCTTAATAATAAGTTGATAACCGTAGTTACTATATCTCAAAAAAGGTTCCATATTTGGAATTGGTGTCGTTAATGGCATAATATTTTCTTTATTAATGTGGCGTACTCTGATCCAAATTCTTTATTGGTATAAAATTACGACGAAAGTCTCTCTCTAGCGCCATATTAAGTACACTACATCTTTAGAGAATACCTTATCCACGTATATTATCGCCAAAAAGTAATTAATGAGATTTAAAGACAATAATCTCCATGATTATAAGTTCTTAGTTTGAATGGAACAGTCCCTGACAACTGATTAGGAGATAGATTATGGATAAAGTTTGGTGGGGTGAAAAAAAGAGATTCAACCTGAACCTACCATTACCAAACACTTGGTGTCATCAAGTTGGTGACAAGATAGAACGTGTCGTAGAAGAGGTGGCCGGCGGGAAGGTCATGAAAAATTACAAAGCCAAACCAAGAGTATATTAACTAAGTCATGTGACTTGGTCTTGTTTTCTTTTGAGGGTATATTCAATTAATTAAGGTCTAATTAATAACTTGTGTTGAAATGACAAATCATATAGTATTATTTAGTTATGAGCAAGATTCTAAGAAGCTTTTAAAAAATCTAATGTTATTATTGGTTAATTATAAGATTTGTATATATTTTTTAATATCCAATGTTATCGAATTAGTGATATGAAAACGTAACTCAAATTCACAGTTGCTGAAAATAATTTAAATTTTGGCTTTTGTAATGACTAGGAGAGAACCCGCGCGTATGCACAGATCTTATATTAATTTATATATTTTAAATATTTTCTATTGAATTTTATGTTTGCTATTAATATATTTTGTCTAAAATATTTATATTTTCTTCGATTTCTTCTTGATGATACATTATATCTAATCTTTTTTACACCAATTGTATTAAATAGTCTTATTCTTTCTTCGATCTTTATATTCTTTTTATTCTAATAAATCTTACTAATATAATACTTGTTAATTTCTTAATTTATCATTTGATTTTTTTTGTTATATATATTTTATTGATTCCATCTTTTTTTATTATTTAAAAAAAAATCATAGATGACATTTTTATGTGGATACCTTTCTTTTTACTATTATTTTTTAATAACTTTTATCTTTTTAATCATTTATTAAATATGATTTGTGTTTTATAATTTTATTAGTTGAATTTATATAATATTATTTGAAACTTTTTAACTTATTTAGTCTCATAATTTGTTTTCACTTGCATTAAAAATTAATTATTTTTTTTAGTTTATAATTAAATTTTAAAACATTTTTAAAAAATAGAGTTGTGCATTTAAAAAGTTTTGTATTATATAATATTTATAAGTTTTTATATGTTTAAATTAAATTTGAATTTCATTCTAATATAAATATATATTAATATTTATTAATATGCTTTAATGTGTTTTAATGTAATTAAAATGTTTTAATATTTTAATATGTTTTAATGTGTTTTAATTTGTTTGCTTTAAATATAATTAATTATTTGTTTTATTAATGTTTAAAGATGACATGTGGCGCTCTCTCCAGCGCTGATGTGTCACTCAATTGGAGAGAGTTGGCCAAGTTTTATATATAAGATTTCAAAATGTTTTAAAAGAACTAGGTGAATACCCGCACATTATGTGCGAGTTTTTATTTTCAATTTTTTCAATTTCTTTTATAATTTTATAAAAATTAATATAATCATCACTTGTTATTTACTTATTTGTTAATATTTTATTCAAAAAAAACAAAATATTAAATATTATTTAATAATTTAGAGTTATATTAAAATTAATAAATATCATCAATATTTTTAATAAGTTATAACATAAAATTTTGTATAAAAATTAATATAATCATCACTTGTTATTTACTTACTTGTTAATATTTTATTCAAAAAATTAAAAAAAGAAATATTATTTAATAATTTAGATTTATATTAAAATTAATAAATATCATCAATATTTTTAATTAGTTATAACCTAAAATTTTGTTTAACATTTACACAAATATTAACTAATAGTCAATTAATAAAAAAATTTAAATTAATAGAATCTTTATTTCATTTGTTACTTGTTTGTATTTTATTATAAATAATCTTTAAAAAAAATTTAAAATATATATTGAAATATTATTAAGTAATTTACAGTTATATAAAAAATTAAATACATATCTATCAATATTTTTAATTAATTATAATATAAATTTTTTTTTAACATTAATATAAATATTAATTAAGAGTCAATTAACAAAACAAACTTTTCATATTCTTTAAATGCTTTAAAATTTAATATTAAATTTTTATTAATTAAAATTTAAGTGACATGTGTCAATTTCTCTAATGTTGATGTGTCAAGCATATAAATAAAGTTGAACAACTTTTATATATAAGATTTGTCAGTTAAAAACACGAAAAATTCAAATCTCATGATTTGGAACGAAATTGTTGAAAAATTTAGTAACAATTTTAGGTTTACCTAAGTTCATTAAAACTATTTAAAATCTTAGTATAAAAGATGAAGTGACTTTCCGAGGCTTGCTACATAGGGACACACAATGTTTGCCTTTGGCGATGAAGATGGGAAAGTCGTGTTTGGTTTTGTTTGAAAACATGTTCAAAGAGAGGATAATTATCCTGAAATTAAGTGGAATAAAATTCATTGATTCTTTCCCACGAAAAGAATGGATTTGTTTTTGGGGTTCTATGGTATTATATGATTACCAAAGGATCTACACAAATAACAGTGAGTTTGTGATTTCTTTTTTAAGAAAACCGGAAAGATACGAATCTCCTCCACGGTCCAATATATATCCATAAATCTCCAAGGAAATGATCCAAATTACCAAAAAAACAAAAAAAAAAATCCAAACATGAAAGTTGAAACATCCCATTCTGTTGTAGTTTATAATGTTATATATGAACCCTAACATCATAAATAATCATCGGATTCATACGAAAACATAAATAAAATCGAAAACCCAA